GTCACCGGAGCGAGGTAGACACCCACCAGCAGATAGCGCCCCTTCCCCAGTTGATCTTCCGCAGCTTCGAACGGTCCTGCAGTGTCTATCGAAAGAGTATATGCGTCCGGGTGTGGGACACGTCTGTGGGCCTTGCTCTTCGATGCAGCAACGACACAGGCCCTGCATTCCCTACTGTAGGGCAAATGCCCGTTGAGAAGGTGTTTCTGCCAGGCATTGAGGTCCATCCTCCTCAGCTGAGGGTCGCCCTTCTCCAGCGACTCTCTGACAGCCACCACCAACGCTGCCTTCAGTCCAGGAGCCCATGCTGCCCATGACTTCGATCTCGCAATCCTCTCCTGGATGGAGTCTCCTCGATGGTCCTCTCCACCATGCCCTTGTCCTCGGACTCCTTTCGAGCTCCCTGAGCCTTGGCATGTTCGTGCCCAGCCGCGTCGGTTTCCGGCGGGGGTGCCCCATTGGTCCCTGGTCGAATCTTACTTCGAAGAGGTCCCACATTGTCTTGACCTTCTGCCACTCCGGCCACGACCAGTACGTTGGGTAGCGAGGATGCCTGTCCCCCTCCTCTGTCTCTCCTTCTGCGGTCTGGTGCCTGAATCGTCCGATCTCTTTCTTCGACTCCCTGGACTCCCCCAGGTAGGCTTCTGGATCATCAGGCTGCTCCAATGCCGTGACCACCTTTTGAGGCGAAGCCGCCTTCGATGCTCGGTGGTGGAGATAAACCTGTCTCAACCACAGCAAAGTGTCGTCCTCCACCTGCTGTTTCAGAACTGGGTCCAGATTCGGCAGGCCAAACCTCCCGGCTCCTTCCCTCTCTCGAAGTGGTGGAGGTCCGGGTTGTCGATACCGCAACCGGCTCATCGTCCTGCACGGTGGGCCTCCGAGTAAGGCTCGTAGTGTGCCGCCATCGGCGATCTCCAGCAGGTAGGCGAAGACGTCGTCCCTGAGGATGTTCATCCCTTGGTCAATCACCGTGTCGACACAGAGTACTGCTCTGCCTTCAGACTCGAGCTCCCGTTGCCAGAACTTCTTGGTGTCCCCGCTGAAAAGGTGGACTACCACTTCTTTTGCCTTCCTCACCCTCCTTCTCTCATGCCTGTTCCACGGGAGAGACTCCCCCGTCCATCCAACCTTAGGCAAGATCCTCACGAGGATTTGAAGAGGGACTTCAGGAAATAGCTCTCGCAGTTCTCGTAGATGGTGAGCCTCCTCGACCTCTAACTCGCCTCGGCCACCCTCTCCCTTCAGAACTGCCAAGCGGGCTCTCTCCCTGACCAGACTTCGTTCGATCTCCTTGATGAGCTCGCGTCCCAAGCCTTCATCCACTGTTGGGCACATCCCTTCCACCATCACGCCCAACAGCGCTCCACTCGGGTCCGTGAGGGTGAACCTGTCCTTCTCCCAATAGGCTTCATAGCCCAGTGAGATCAGCACCCCAAGTGGAACGATCGTTTGGACCTCGTTCTGGGTCAAGAGGGTCTTCGTCCATGGAATCTGTCTGAGCATCACTGAGCCCTCTGCTAGTTCTACCCTGACTTCTTGAGCTCGATTCCATTCCTCCTCGGACTCTGCTCTTCGGAGACAGTGGGTCGCTCCACCATCGAGAAGGGCTCGATCATTGGATCTGACCTCCAAGCTGCTCAACTTGATGGTCTTGACGGCTGTTCTTCCTTCGTTGGCTGGCCTCAAGCTCTTCAGCAATGTCGTTGCCTCCGAGAGCAGGGCTTGAACCTCCCCCGAGCTCGCAGCGGGCTTCTCGACTTTCTTCTCATCCACTCCATCCTCACTCGCAGCTGGAGGGTTCTCCTCGGCCATCTCTCGCTCCATCTTCTTGGCGCTTACCCCCTTTTCAGCTTCCTTTTTGAAGGTCTTCACGTGCTTCTCGGGGTCGGCCTTCGGCTTGACTGTCGGGCACTCCTTTTTGGTGTGTTTCGTTGATGAACACCCAAAGCACCTGCCTTTCTTCTCCAGGCTGCCCCAATCGTGCTTAAACCGGCAGTCTTGCCCCTTCCTGCACCCGTCCTCAGAGCCCCAGAACCTGCAAATCTTCTCATCGTGCTTGCCCTCGCCCTTGGCCTTGCCGGAGCCCTTTTCCCCCTTCTCGTCATTCGGCGCCACCATGGCCTTCACTTTTGTGGGCATAGGAGCCGTCCTGGCCTCCATTGTGGGCTGCAGTTCACTGATGGCCAGGGACTCTGCTTCCGCTGTGAGCATATCCGAAAAGCTCAAGACCGTCTCCAGGCTCGGTGTCACATCCACCCCCAACGTAGCTCTCGTTGAGGACATTCGGAATGCCACCTGGTTCGAAGTTTTTCCCACCAGTTCCGACATCCGATCCAAGGCGCCCAGCAGCAAAGTGGCATCTGGAGTAGCAATCTCCAGCTCCTGAGCTCGCCTCAAACTCCGGCGCCATCCCCTCAGCGCTTCCACCACTTCATTCATCGTTTGCGGGGCCTTCGGTTCAACTAGCTGTCGAAGGAGTCGTGATCGCTCAGCCAAGCCTCCTGGTTGGTAGCGTCTGAGCAGGGCATACAGCGCCTCCACTGAACTGGTAGTCCGGCTCGAGAGGATCTCTGCCTTGATGCTCTGCGGTACGGCATTGAGCAACATCAATTGCCCCCTTTGCTCGAGCCGACTCCAAACCCCTGAGCACTCGACTGGGACCCTCGGCCGAATGTACAGCCTTTGGACCGGTTCAGCCTGCAGCCACTCCCGATAGGCCATCATGGCGAAGCTCAACACCTCCTCCCACCACTTCCAACTGGTCGCACTCAAATCCTTCATAGTTGGAGTCACCAATTGAATCCAATCCCCAAGGATGATTGACCCCAAATCCCCTTCATGGAGGTCCTGAAGAGGTGGCAGTTCCACTGACCTGATGGCTTCAGCCCATTGGCCCTCTGATGAAGTGGTCCCCAACTGCCTCAAAACTGTCTGGGCTGCCTGTTCCAGCGGAGACCCTTTGACCATGTGTCGGGTTGCGTTCTCATTCCTGGGGACCTCTCGCTCTTGCCCTCGATGGAGTCCACCTTGTAGGCCCCACCCTCCAGCTCCCCAGGATCCGGGCACGTCAGGTACTCCCAAGCCTCGTGGAACCGCACCTCTCCCCATCGATGGCCACAGGGAAGTCCGGGATCTTCACATCGGCCCATGCCTGATTCGAAGGCTCCATCCTTCCCTTCACAGGGGTGCACGGGGGTGGATCCTTTGGAGGTGATGGTGGTGGAGTCGAGGTAGGAGGTCTTGGGGCTTCTCCACTGGCCTCTCCCTTCACCTTTTCTCTTGACGACTTGACCTCCCGTCTCAACTCTCCCAGCTCCTTCTTCAGAGCGGCATTCTGCGTCATGACTGCCCGGAGGAGTTCCTTGACGTCCATTGAAACCCCCCCGCCTCATCCACAGGCTCCACCCGTCCTGAAGGTTGGGGCCCGTCCGCAGCATCTCCATCCGGCAATGCCGCTGGCCTCATGGCTCTCAGTCGAGCTTCTGCCTGAAGTCGCTCGCTCCAGAACGGGTTGACCGGCACCACCTTCGTACCATCACCCTTCCCTTTTCCATGAGCTTCGCCCCTTCTCTGGGGCCCATAGGACACTGGCGGTCCCTCCGCCAAGACCATCGCCGTCACCGGCACCATGGCATCTCGAGCGTCTTCCAGCGCCAGGACCTCCTCTTCCTTCGCCGACTCCATCGAACCCTCCTCCGGGGTCGAAGATGCGGCCGCCGCGCTCCGCTTGGCCATGGGGACCAGCGACCAGCGCACCCACACGGTGCCCACTGGGTGGACTTACCGCCCCTACCAACACGTTGGGCTCATAACCTGCAGCAGTAGCGGCTACCCTTTTGCCGCTTGAACAACAAAGGGCTTCGTGTTTACCCTTCTTTGGTACACTTCTTGATTTAAGTGCGTGTTCTCGCACCTTGGACCCTCATGAAAACTTGGTACACTTCTTTATTTGTGCACCTGCGATTTCGACCCGTTCTGAGCACACTCCCATCCACCAAAATCGCCAATTCAACTGAGACTTGTCACGAAAACAGAGCTTCGATGCCACACCCTGAAACGCAAATCCCAATGGCACGGGCACATCCAACACCCCAAAAACACGACTCTCTAATCCCAATGGAACTGCGCAGTAATCTGCAGATCTCACCAAACGCTGCGCCTGTGCAGCGAAACGCATCACGTTTCTTGCGCGACATGTCTTTTTCATGCAAATCACAATAGAATAGCGGCGCAAACTGACACGTGACACATCCATGAATAGTCACTTGCAAAAGCTTCCCCCAATGGCAGCGCCTTAGCGCTCTACCGCGAACGGTTGCGAACACTTGCGGACGGTTGCGGACGGTTGCGGACGTAGAAACAACGGGTCACGAACAAGGCTCCACCCCCAGACCCCCAAGAGTTAAACGAGAACCCTTCGCTACGCATTCGGGAATAAAAAACACACACCCAGATCGATCATGGTTGTAATTTAGGAATTGTTTTTGAAGGCAACAATTTTAGAACAAATATAATTCGTGGTTAGGGGTCTCCGACAAACGCTTACCGCGAAAAGCCAAGCGCGGTCTCAATAGGTGTAGAAGATCTGATCTAATTCCATTTGCGATTGGAAGAACTAAGGGGCCCCCATAAGATGTAAAGGGCATTGTACTTTCGTACTTTGGCAGTTTATAAGGAAAATGTCCTCAATAGACTTCAGTACTTGTACAAGCAACGGTGTGTATTGCTGTGAGATGCTGCCAGCATTGTTTTCGTAACTTGGGCAACATGTTGTTGGCACAGAAAAGGTACTTAAATGCAGTGGCCCCAAGAAATAGCAATGACGAACAGTCCGAACACGAATCTGCGCGCTGAACATCTTCAAGGGTTCACAGCCAGGCCGCTGGAATGTTACCAGCGCTTGGTTTTCCAGGAGTGTTGTATTTTTGCAACCCTTTTGATTTCCATTGTTACAAAAGTGTGTGTGCTTGTGAATTGCTTGCAACACACCTGGGCAGGCAGATGACATAATCAAGTTGCCTGAAGCTGATGATCCTGTTACTGCGCGGAGAATTGGAATTCCTTGGAAACCCCAGGTGGGGCATTTGGAGTTCAGAGTGGCAGTGGCAAAAACTTTTGACCCTGAGGAAATAGCCCAAGTCTTCGGCGTAGTTGTGATAATGATCTGGGCAGTTCAGGCGAGGGCAGCTATATGAGAAGCAACACGATAGTCCCGCGCCTGAACCAAACGTCTAGCAAAATACGTTGTTGAATGTTCATCAATTTCTAGTTTCTCGTTCTACAACATGTATGTTTCATTTGTTCTGTCTGCGTGTGTCCAAGGCCAAGGGTGTTTTTTAAAATTTGTTCTTGTCCTGCTCAGACTGGAAATATGGCAAGGGCCGTCTCCGAATAGAACCATTGAAGGTAATCACAGGAACCTTATCATGCATTAGGCCATTTGTTAGAAATGATGTCTGTAATCAAACATGCACACATTATATCATGTATCTCAGCAACGACACAAAAGATACGTTCTTGAGGGCTGAAAAATGCTGACGTTCTGCAGTTCTGGAATTGTTGGATGCTCTCATATAACAATTTCAAGAGAGGTCAACGAAAGACGCCTCCGCGAAAGGTAAACACGCAGTCGCGAAGATTCGGGACAGATTTGGCGAACTTGTCATGCGCGAAAGCTTGCGAAAGCTTTTGGAAAGCTTGCAACAGCGTGTAAGTTCAGATTTCTGTGCGCGAAAACTTGCAAACATGTTTTTGCAAAGAATGCAGTGCGTGAAAGCCAAAACACAAACTGCGAAAGTGTTGCGAAAGGAACTTGCGAAAGAAGAGGCCTTTCGAACCAACTCTCGATATGTTTTGAATAACACCCATGTTGGAATGTCAACGTGTCAGTGAAACACAAGATCTTTTCGGAAGGAGTCGATAGGACAAGCGCAATAACTGAATGGATCGGACGATGGTGCTCGTTCATTGCTGTCCCAGATCGTTCTCGGAGCAACGAAATGTGCCATGGTGCAGGGCTTGGCTTGACCTGTCAAGACGAAGGCAGTTTCTAGCATTCATTTTTACAACCATTTTGCCATTGCCATCGAAATCGAGAGCGACATAAGTGTTTGAACATGCAGCTCCCGCCTAACTATCCACAATGATAGTTGTCCTGGCACACAAACTTAGATTATATAGCCAACACAGGTTGCATTTTGAGTCGTTGCCCAGGCATACGTCACTGAAATCTGGTATTTCACCCCGCCAGCAAATGAAGATGGGTTTTGTCCTCAGACATGATTCTGAACAGGGAAGAGGTTGAGGATGCAAAGTTGCGAATGTTCGGATTCTGACTTGGTCAAAAAAACGTCAAAACTATTTGGGAATGAATGGAGCAAGCAGATCTCTTGATTGATTAGAAGCGCGGTTCTGAAAGGACGGGAACAAGATTCAATGCATCGTTTCAGGGGGCAAAACACAGTTTAACGTTCAGCAAACAAATTCAGATAGATATATGATATATATATATATAGTAGGTGCAGCATGTTGCAGGCATACTGTCTTTTAGAGTACGGACATGAGACACTTGATCTGCTGCGCGACTGACCTGTGCTTGACTTGCTGTACTCGTAGTTGAAAGTTGGATGTCGCTCTGCAAGATCATCAAACTTCGCATGACAGAACACCATGAATTCATGAATTGTGGAAGTCGGAAGACCAGTGTGAATGGTTTCGGCAATGTGAGATCGGGCGCAAATTCCGCACGCTTGCATTTGGCAATAGGCCACGCACTCCTTTGCTCTTTGACGCAGTAGGCATGCTTTGTGGCCTCGTGCAAGCCTCTCAGTGCTGCTGCGGCTTATCGCCACGAGCTTCACTGCCGCCTTCATCCGTACAATCAACACGGTTGTAGGTTCGAGGCACTACAGCGTTACAACGTTTCCAGGCATGTCGTATATAGAAGAGTTTTTGGTGACTTGGCGGTGTTCAACTGTGTCAAGACTATCCAGAATATACGGACAACGCAATAGTCTAGACTGATGGTGGATAAACATGTTTGTTTGGGATTTGGTTGCTTTGGGCTGAAGATTGAACCCTAGGCCAAACCATCAGATCACACAACACAGCAAAGAACAACACAAAGCAAACGAGCAACAAGAAAGAAACAAAGCATTGGAGCTGGATTCGTTGCAAAGTGCTCTCACGCACAGTCCTTTTTCGATCTTTTTTGCATTTTCGCGACGGCACATGAGACCAACTCGCAGAGGTTTTGGTACGTTTTGATGAAGTTCGATACGGTATGTTTCAACATGTTTGAACCGCCACCCGCTATTTTATTTCGGATCTAAGCCAGCACTAAGTAAAGATGCGCTGCGATGTGCGCATGGACTATGAACGTATGTGGCGTGAGACCCAATGTCCACAAGCTGCCAAACATTGATTTGAGGGCTGGAATAACCAGTTCTTCTCCCCAAGAGTTGATGTTTATTGTTTTCTCTTCAATTTAATCTCCGCTGTTTTGGTTTGACCAAGCAACCCCCGCTCTTGTTCCTATTTCCCCGTCAGGTGAGTGTTGTTGGATTTTATGTCAGCTGGCGCCCTCCTCCTCCTCCTTCTCGTCCTCAACCACGAGTAGCGGCTGGTAGTGACTGGTAGTGTTCCCTGCTGGACCTCAACTGCGAGGGCCGTGTGGCAGTGTTCCCCGCCGGACCTCAACTGCGAGGGTCGCGCCCCGGTCCTCAACCACGACCTTGGGCTGGCAGTGTTCCCGCCGGACCTCAAATGAAGCTAGATCCACCAACACACAATTCCGAATACACAACCACAACCCCACAAGCACAACCCCACAAGCACAACCACAAGCACACCCACAAACACAACCATGCCACAAACACAACCACGAACACAGATCAATGAAAGGTGCAGGGAAGGACAAGGCAGGAAGCAAAGCAGAGGAAAGGAGATCCACTGCACGAAGGACAGCCAAGGAAGAAAAGTGCATGAAGCAGTGATCAGTACTGGAGCCAAAGCATTGAACACATGGAAAATGGCTTTGGGTAGTGGAGCAGAGAACAAGAAGAATCAGCCATAGCATGTAATTGTGATGTTGGGTACTCCTTTTCCACGTTTCTCTCTTTCATCCCTGCGGTGTGCAATCTTTTGTGATTTACAAATTAAGGGAGCCCTCCTCGTGCCTTTTGTGTAGCCAAGTTTCCAAATAGACCCATCGCATAGAACCTTTGTGAATTTGAGCAGATTTGAGCGGGTGCAGAGACGCCAGGGTGGAAAGGGGAAAAGCTGCTTGGGCCTTTTGCAGTTGTCATGCGGTGAACATGAGGTGAACACACTAAGACGGCGCGTCGGGGGATTTTACAGGAAGGACAATTTCATGTATGATGGCGCACTAAGATTGCACATCGGGCTCAGGCATCACTTCATGAGAAAGAAGGGCAATCAATCATGTGTCGACAGAAAGCCTGCTTTTTTCTTGCAGGTTTTTGCTTTTCGTGGTTGAAGTTTTTTTGTTAATATGCCATCTATATAACCTTTTTTTGTTTCCATGTGCCATCTTAGTGTGATCCCCTATCGATGTGAAACCCCTTTTCTTGAGCCAAGCCAAGTGGGGTGGTTCTGCCACCTCACTCCCGCTGCCTGCTACGCAGGCATTCCTGCGGCTCCGGATGGTTTTTTCATCTCCCTCCACCCTTCGAAAAGTTCGATCCCACAATGTGAGGATTCGCTCTCTGGTGGCAGGGCGTTGGTGCGCACCCTGGGCTCTCTTAGCCCGCGGCCTCCTCACATCCAGGGATCCCTTCTCAGCTCAGCCGCCGTGGGCAATCTGGTTTGGGTTCCCCTGCACCTTGCCGTCACGTTCGCCTGGAAGAAGATGTCGGATCTTCTCGTCGATGTGGTGCCAGATGATCCTGATGGCGCCGCCTCTGACTCGCTACCCATCCTTGCCTGAGCACTATCGGCGTGATCTCCCACACCCTCCCCGTTGTCGCCTCTCTGATGATGCCAGCCCCATATCTCGGGATCTCAAGGCCTCTGGATCTCAAGTGCCGGCGCTGTCTGGATCTAAAGAGCTCTAGGCCCCAGATCTCCAAATCTCTTGATGTTTTTGGATCTCAAGGCCAGGCCCTCGACCTCTCCAGGCAATACTGTAGATCTTTCTAGACCTTTAGATCTCTTTGGTTTCAAAGCCTCTAGAACACTGGATCTCTAGACTCAGACCTCTCTAAATCCCTGTGGAGCCCAGTGCCTTCTGCTTCTATACACCTCTAGACTGTAGACCTTGACCTTTGCGGCGGGGAGGCTAGATCGGCTAGATCTCGTACTTTGCTGCTGCCGGAAATCCTTTTAGGATCTTTTAGGCACAGGGAACGCTAGATCTTGCCAATTTTTAGCGCTACCGGAAAAATTGTTTGGATTACTGTAATGTTTGGGAAGAAGCTTTTGGGCTTAGAGCTTGTGAAGACAGTTCTGAGAGTAGGGTTTAGAAGCAGGTTTTGGATTTGGATTTGTGAACCGTCTATCATACCTCAGCAGCCGATCCAAGCGTCGACTGCTGCACCGACCTTCAGTGTTCCGCACCCGATCGCACGAGTGGTTTCGCCGCTGCCGCTGAACGGCCATGGTGGCCAACACTCCAAACATGCAGGTGGACTCCAGCCAACGACCGAAGCGGTTGGGCATACCCTGTGAACGGTCAAACTGTCAAACGGCCGCTTTTCTTGAGCCAAGCCAAGGTGGTTGCCAGTTGAAAAAGAGGGGTGGTTCTACGACCTCATGACCTCATCATCAAAATACGGTCAAAACCAATTTTGAAGGGGATAGTCTAGGGGCATCCTGGAAATGCTTTGTGTTGTGTTTTTGTTGTGGGCAAATTTCTAAAAAAGGACACAGGCTGCAATCAATTCCACCATTGAGGTCCCTACTTCTTCAAAAAATTAGTGTCAACATGTTGCAAATGCTTGAAGGCGAAATGCGGTAGTCCACGGGCGCTAATGGAACTTATTGTATATATTATATACATTTATACATAGCATGTTTTTCTCCTTTAGATTTTCAATAATAGTTCTATGCCGTTAGTCTGGAATTGTTTGGGGGCTGATCATTCTCCTCAGACACCCTCGGCCGATTGCTAGAGGGGGGTGGTATTTACAACTCAAGACTCCACATCAAAATCATCACCAGCTAGAGACAGCGGAACGTGAGCCGTACACAAAGCCTCAGAAAACTATTCCTCCATGCCAGTACAGGTCCAGAGAGAGGGAGGAGTACTGCGTTTTGATAAAGGCGGGGAAGCAATTGGTTGGATCGAAGGGGTTGGGCGGATGTTGCGCGGAGGGAGACAGAATTCCAACGGCGCAGCTATTTCAATGCTCGGCAGCCGAAGAATACCTAGTATTTTGTTGCTCTTGCGCGGGCAGTTTGATCGCAGCGTCCAAAGAATCAGGGAAAGAAACACAAGAAAAACAAGGTAAGGGCCCCTTCAATAAGGCAGGCTTTGTGTGGCAGATGAAAGGTCATGTTTTTTAGATACGAATTCCAAAACTCCATTCGCTCCTCGTTTGCTTCGTTTGTTCAATCAGTTTTCAGTTGGCAAGGTCCTTCCCTTGCTTTCAAGTCTCCTTGCGCGCGCTATGGCCAACTTCAACTTGGTGTTGTTTGGACGGTGGGATATTGTGTTTGTGCCCGTGTGTGTGTGTGTGTGTCCACCCCTGGACGGGTTTTTTCCACTACCTTGTTCAACCACCTTCTACAAGCAGGGGGCAGAGGGATCTCCAGTCGTGGCCTCTGCCAACGAAGCTCCACACTGGACGATCAGGAAAACGTACCTGCGCCGTGATACCACTCCACTCTTCCTTGCTGTGTTTTGATGCCATGGTCGTTCATGTTTCTCCCCCTAAACCATTTCCTCCCCAGCAGCGCTGCAGCTTGAGCCGCTTCGTCACCGCAGTCAAGGGAAACAACTTTTGTTCAAACACCTACAATTTTCTCGGACTTTTCGCCATGCTGTTCCACCGCCATCCTTCCCAACGTGGTAACTGAGTTCACTGAATACAAGTGTCAGAGTGTGTCGCGCTGTGTCCCTAAGAGCGCTTTCCATGAATTTGTGGAGCAGGGGGACACAGCATTTCACTGGGACTGTGTCCAATGAAGCTACCAGTGAAACGGGATATCCTGCTTGGCCAGCTGGATGTACCTGCTTCTATTCTATTGGGCGATTCTTATGTCTCGCTGCAAACAGGAGGCAGGGTTCGTCGGCAGACTTGTCTGTCGGCCCCATTTCCTTTTCTACTCTCGCTGCCTAGAACAGGAGGCTCCTTTTCCTTTTCGTCTACCCTACCTAAAACAGGAGGCTTTGTTTCCTGCTTACTTACTTGGATCGATTCACTTGTCTCTCTCAAATATGGAACTATCCCTACCTCTACCTACTCGTCAATCAAGATCATACGACCTCCAACCGTGTCGCTTTGTAAAGGGCTAATGAGTCTTCGTCGCTTCACTTTTGGATGTGATTCTAAGTAAAGCTTGCCGCTGTCGCGTGCTTTGTTGTGCAGTAACGGTCTAGTGCACTAAAGTGGTAATGCAGTAACTAGAGTGACTGCAGTAAAGGGCTACTGCAGTAAAGGTCTAATGCATCGGCGAGCCAATACTGAAAGTTATGCTGACTCAGTTGAGCTATATATCATCCTTTGCCAAGTATCCTCTTTAGAATTTGGGAGCTTGAGCTCAAAATGACCCTCAGACTTTATAGACAATTTTCTTATAGAACCAAAAATCGACGTATCTGAAAAGCCACCACATTTTCAACATGGGGGTCCAAAAATGTCCGCTTGTTCTCTCGAAGTGGGTGACAACACCTGTCTCTATAGAGAGGGCACGCCATGTCACTAGGTCTTGTACAGGTCCGAACATTTGATTCTATAGAAAGCATCAGGAGCAGTAGAAGGTTGAGAATTGATTTTAGAATGGCTGGTGTGTTGTGAGGTGAGGCAGGTTGATATTTCAATTTATAGTATGGAAAGCATTTTGAGTAATAGAAGGTTGAGAATTGGTGTTAAAGTGGATGGTGTGCTGTGAGGTCAGGTCTACAAAGTCGAAGCCAACCTCTTGGGCCACTGTCATCCAACACTATTATAAAATCAATTTGAACCACTTTCAACCTTCATATGTCCCCAAACCCTCTTCTATAAAATCAAAACCAACCTTGGGCCACAGTTTTATAAAATCAATTCCAACGTTCATATGTCCCCACACTTCTTTATAGAATCAAAACCAGCCTTGGCTATGCATCATTGATTTCCCCATTTTTTGCTATCAACTTTCCGATGATGAACACCCATACCCTGAGGCATTTGATGCTATAGAGAATTTGCTTTTTGTTTTATAACTATAAAATCAAATCTCAAGGTGAACCGGTAATTCCACAGGGGATTATATATCAAAGTGTGTGTGTGTACCCCTTGTAGTCACAGGGATTCTTTTGAAGTTTGATGGATGACACTCACACATCTTGAAGTGTACCATGTTGTTGCAGTTTAAAGGAATGACACACACAAATCCTGAAGTGTTTCATTATGTTGCAGTGCAACCTTTGGAGTCACAATCCCTTTTTTATTTTGTTGCTGTTTTTTTTGCTGCCTTGTGTCTTGTGGGCCCTCTAACCTATTGCGCAGGCCTCCAACCTTGTCGCTATGGCCTCTTTCTATTTGTGGTGCCCTTCTAGTAGTTTATGCCGGTTGCCCTTAGGGCCGGCGCGTCCACTCTGCTTGACTGGACGCATTCCTATCCAGTCTGCAGAGTTGGGGTGGGCACAGGCGCTTGCTGCTGCTTGCTGTTGCTTGCTGTTAACTCGGTACTTTGGCCTCCAAACTTAGGTGATGGCCTCTACTTTAACCTTCAACTTGCCTTGTTTCCTAAGGTTTTTTACTTAGGCCGGCGTGTGGCACCGCTGTCAAGTCCGTATGCATATCCATAAGTGTGTGTTTGTGTGTGTGTGTCAAATTGGTGCAGCGTCGCAGCGTCCAACACAATCATTCACCCAAGAGGACTTTTCGATTTCAGCCTTGGCAGGCCTATTGCCAGCTAGTGCGGTATCATATTGGCACCATCTCCTTTGGCAGCTAATCTGCACACAGAACTGACTGTGGCAAGTGAGATAGGTCCGTGCTTCCGACTTGGCTCTACTCTTATCGTGTTGATGTTGTTTAAGTAGCGCGCAAGTTCTCTCAGGGTTGTTTGTGGTTCTTGTCAGGTGCATTTCTGTCGGTTGTTGGAGGCCTTCCAGCGTATGCGTGCATCTCAGTCCGAGTCAAGGCTTTGGTTCTGGCGATTGCGTCACAATCTGAAAGTTCGGGGAGTTGATGTCTGGACTGTCCATGCATTGATTGCAACTGCTCAGGTAATTGGCTTCAACGGCATGTTTTGTGGGATTGATGCCAGAGATGGTACAAAGCCACTCATGACCAAATGTGAAGTGGTATACAGCGTTCGTCCATTAAGATCCCCCTTGGTTATCCCATACTAAAATCCTGGGGGTTGACCCCACCGATTCAGAAATTATTCCATTTCAAAAAAAACTCTTGGGATAGCATGTCAGGTAGAGCGCAGGATTTAACAAAATGGCTCCGACTGGGCATGCTGGATTGTGAAAAATGGGGGTGCCAAGGTAGTTCACAGGGTTGGGCGCAGGAATCCAAAAAAAAGGTTGGGCGCAGGAATTTACTGAGAACTTGTGGTCAGGGAGGGCACAGGATTTTAATACATAAACGCCTGTAGATCAACTCCTGTAGACACGGCGTCCCTTTTACGGTACTTGTTCTTTGCATTTCCCTCTGTGGCAGTACATACGACATGGTACAACACCCAAGTAGGTCTGTCTCTTGGTGCTTAGTTGCCACTCTCAAAAGGCTGTGGTTAAGAAACAACACAGGCACGTCTTGACGCCTGATTTCCACAACCCCAAGGTCCCAATGTTATATATTTGCATTGGTGCGCCGGCGTGCCACAATATAAATCTGACTATCTAACATTCAACCGGTCCACTGCGCTATTCTCGTGCCCCAGCACATCCCGCACACTTGCTGAGATGGTTTCTGTAAGGCCTGTTCGCGAACACTCCCCGCGACAAAAGAACCGCAAGCCAATAAGACAATTATCATTGACGCCCCAAAGACGTCATGTCAAACTCAGAAAGCCGCTAGCTTTTTTTAACTATTAATATATTACTATATAGGTCCATTAGGGCCTGGCAGTAGGAGTAGGAGTTGCGCACACTGCCATGAGTTGGGGATTTGGGTGCCCATGCCATTCCACAAAGTGAGGACTTGCTTTGACCTGAGCCTCAGAATCCGAAGCAACAATAACATACAATAACTATCCCCCTTGGCACCGACGGCAGGGGTTGATCTACTGGATTTTACGTATTAAAGTCCTATGGGTCCAAGGTGATCTTTTGGTTTTTCATTGGTGCCCAACCTTTTTTTACCGGCGGTGGTTTTTAGACAATTCCTGTGCCCTAAGGTCCACCAGTGGGGGTCAGACAACAGGAAAAAACAACAAACCCCTGCCCGCTCCAGCTTCTCACGGAAATCCCACAGGGATCCCACCCACCCCTTTGAGTGGTTTGAGTGCACGAACAGAAAAAAGTGCACATTTGAGTTGCGGCGCTTACTACTAGGAGCTAGGGACACTACTAGGCGCTCCAGGCCTTACTACTAGGAGCAAGGACGCTGCTAGGGGCTCCTGGCCTTGCTACTAGGAGCTAGGGACGCTACTATGTGCTCCTGGCCTTACCATTCAGTCACTCAGCTCCCATCGTCCTGTTGCCCTCGCCACCTGTCCGCCTGTCGCATCCTGTCGCCCTGAACCCTTCCGCCTTGGAAAGCCCTTGAAACCTAGGATTTTACTGAGACTTCCTTTCCCTGTGGGAGGGGGTGCAGGGTTGGGACACAGGATTTTTCTAGACATCGTCGGCGGGCAGGGGTTTGTTTGTTTTTTCCTGTTGTCTGACCCCCACTGGTGGACCTTAGGGCACAGGAATTTTCTAAAAACCACCGCCGGGAAAAAAAGGTTGGGCACCAGTGAAAAACTAAAAGATCACCTTGGACCCATAGGATTTTAATACGTAAAATCCTGTAGATCAACCCCTGCCGTCGGTACCAAGGGGGATCATCATTTTCGTGCATTGTCCATTGCACCATGTTCCCATTCCATGCCAGGCTGGCTACAAGTATTTAAGATGTGCAGGTGCAGCCATTGCCTCAGAGCCTCAAAGTTCAGGGCATTAACCTGAGATACCGAATGCGCTGGACAAAACTGATGGCTGATAACTACCTTGCTGGACACAGCAGGACCAAGGTTGCAGCAGCAAGTTCCGCCAGTATGTTCTCGGGGATAGCGCTAGGTTTGCGTGCGCGTGGGAGAACTTGAGCAGCGCTGCGTGAAAGGAATCTTGACAGCTTTTTGGCTGTTTGGATTGAAGCTGCTGGGCCAGGTACATTGACTTGTGCTTGCACTCTGAAAGCTATTTGGAAGGAGGAATGAATGCCAGTAAGGCCAGCAGAGAAGCAAATAACAGGATACCCTCATGCATTGTTCGGAAAAAGCTCGACCTCATGCATGTTAACCTTGTGTGTGTGTGCATGTGTGTGTGTGTTTGCTTGAGGTCCTAAAGCGAGAGCTAATGCATGTCCACGAGCTCCAGGGTGTCTTCTTCTCAGATTTCTTGAGCCAGTTCCAACAGTGCAATTTGACTGCTTGCCAAGGCATTGTGGATGTTCCACATTGCTGGTGTAGGACTTTGCATGACAGGCCCAACCTTGTTTCTTCAAAGCGCAGACCACTCCCACCTTCTGGATCGTTGAACATGCCAATGGCAATGCAAGGTTCTGCTTACATTTTGGACCTGGCAATTCGTGTGGTGAGCCCCTCATGCAATGCGATTGCCATGGAGTGCCAAAGGTTGGTTTTACATTTGTTTATTCAAGGTGCCAAGCTTCTTAGAGACTAAAAGCGACTAAGTGGAGGCCATCGCTATTAGGTTGGAGTCCATCGCTACTAGTAACAACATAGCTTCTTAGTAACTAAACACTTCCTTGGGAATCATTTCATCTGAAGGTGCCAAGCTTCAGTGATCCCAACAGCACTCTGTTCATCCTTGAGACTCGTGGCGCAACTTGATGCAGATCGATGTGCTGCAGACCTCCATTCTATCACTTTGTGCATTTTGTGCATTGCCCATTGTGACCTTTTGTGGCACCAATTCTGCGTGCAAAGGTTTTTATGCTCAACGGGATCACTGGCATGTTCATTGGTGGCTTGGCAGAGTTTTTCAGCTTCTTTTGCCCCAAGCTGCCTCCTTCCTGCAGTCCTGATTGACAAGCCGGCACACCACAGTCCACTGATGAATTGCTCCCTGAAAGTCGGAAGCTTTCCCAGGTCGTGCACGAGACAACATACCCTGTAAATAGTCTCTCTCTCTCTCTATATATATATATTTATACTAAATATACTAATCTATACACAGTGTGTATATAAATATATAACTATATATGTATATATATATATAATCACCCCCCCTAACCCTTAAAACTGGGGGGGGGACCTCCTAATGTGTAACTTACATTTTCCTATGGTTTTGACCTTAAAAATGTGTGAATTTTCCCTGTTGTTGGTATCTTGTGTACAGCCGAGTTCTGTCCATGGTGCATTCCGCCGCCATTTGGGTTTACAGGGCCCTTGAGCTTACTCGCGCTTACGCCTGCGTGAAAACGCTGTTGGACGTCGTGGTCGGGACCAGTTTCACATTGGTAGCGGAGCAGGTTCGGGTTCGTCCCACTGCATCCATCAACCCGTAAATCCACCGATCCAGGATTCGTTCGTGCATTCGCGCCGAGAATTTGCAACCAAGTGTTCTTGAAATTGCCCGCTGAGGCCTGACAGACAAGGAATGTCGGTCGCAGGACTTCGCTTTAATCCCGACAAGAATTCAGCAGGCGGTACTCATTTGGAGACCAAATGTGATGCTGCTTCGTTCCACGACTGGGAATTCCGCACCCGCCTTCGCATTCGTCTATGGAAAGAAGGCAGCAAACACACGACTCATTCCAAGAGGAGCACACCAGCGACAACACCAAAGAGGAGTGACATGCCTAATGGAGGTACTGAAGAAGACGCTGATCTCCCAGGCTTCCCTCCTGTCGAACCAGAAGATGAAGAAGAAGTAGTAGTCAGCAAGCCAGACATCAACCCGCTTGTGAACATTTGCGTGGAGATGCCTTTTTGCTCGCCAGGGACGTCGGTCTTGATGCCCTGACCAGTGAGGAAGGATTGGAAGACCTATTGCAGAAGATGAAGGCTTTCGTTTTCCCACGTGCCAATGAGGAGGCGAAGGAGTTGTTTCGTGCTGGCCAGAAGCACGGAGGTCCTTTGTCTGGAGAGTCCATGCTGTCGTGCACCAACCGTCGCAAACGTTGGTGGTCCGTGTTGCAGGAATTGGATTCGACCATGATGCTGAGTGACAGTCTTCGTGCCGAACTGTTGCTCGAATTGTCTGGTCTGTCACGCCAGGAGATCCTTGTGACCAAAGCATGTGCCAACCCCAAGAACTTCGAAGGATATTGCAAGGTTCTCGTTGACCACTACTCAGGAGTTCACCTCAGAGAAGGTGGCAAGACATGGCAAGGCCGCTCTTCACCTATGACTGGGAAGGGCAAGAGCTATTCAAACCATTCTGGCCAAGGCAAATCATTTCGTTCTGCATATGTTTCGTACCCTGAAGTGGATGAGCGTTCGTCGTCACCATGGGAAACCATGGAAGAAGCAGTTGAGACCAACTTCGATGAAGGCGACTCCCACGCCTGGTTGGGAGACGGATTTGATGAAGAAGAAGAAGAAGTGCAGGAGCAAGAGTTCGATTATCTTGAAGATGAAGAAGAAGCAATTGCCTTGAACGCAATGTTGGACCTCGAGGAGGCCGACGATCGTCAAGCAGGAGAAGCTATCCAGCTTCAGCTCGCTGCATTCAATGCATTCGGCAAAGCAAGCGGGGGGTTTCCGGGGCAACAAACGACACAATCTATTTCCACACCAACAAGAGGCGAGCCGCGGCTAGCCAAAGTGCCTGACGTTGCCTGGCACGTCGCCCTTGGGATCCTAAAGAAAAGAGGTGCAGGCCGAGCCGCAGCCAGCCAAAATGCCTAACGTCGCCTGGAAAGTTAAAGGCAGCGGCGCCTAACGTCGCCTGGCCTGGCCCAGTTGCCTGGCAGCTGAGTCAGAGGTGTGCAGAACGCAACCGACGGCCACACCCAGAAACGGCACCGTCGACGCACTCTGGATCTGCTTGGGCAGAGAAAGGCAGCGGCGATCTGCTTGGCCTGGGCGACTGTTTCACCGTGCGGCGTCCCGGGTGCCGCCCCGCAGGCAGGGGTCGGCGGATATCCTCTCCTTCCTTCTCAGCTACCATTCGATCGTAGGGGCCTTGCATGGACACTTTATTGACTGTTTTTCCCATATGCATCTCTAGTTCTGAAGATTCCATATGTTGCCTTTCAATTTCTAGGTGCATACCACCGGTTTAGGGACGCCCAAAAATGTAGCTTTCATTTTTAGAGGTTACCATCTTTGACCTGATTCGCACAGATTCAAACAAACACGATAAGCGGCCCGGATACATGTGCGCATATCATCCTTTACCTTTTTCTGCTTCTCTTCTACTCTACTGGAGAATGAATCCATGGACACGTGCCTGTTCTTCTATCTCTCTCCTTGTCAAAGTTACATTTGATCACCCCCCTCAAATTATAGGATTTGAAGTGGGGGGGGG